CTATAATGGTCTTGTTATTTAGTTGTCCACTGATATCACTTTGGGCCTTTGGCCCTTTCCCCCTTTACATGTTTAGAAAGAAGAAGCGAAACTCATTTTATAATAATTAATATAAGACCCATTTAACTAATTTGATTAGATTAAGAAAGTTAGGTAAATTAGTTAATTATAAAAAAAGTGACACATTTTTCTTAAAACACCATAATAATATTTTTTAATACCTATTTCTCTTTTCTACTTGATTATGGTTAAGGGAGTATTTATAAAGGTAATTTAGAGAAAATTGATAAATATGAGAAATAAGTTTTATATGTAGGATCAAAACCAACTCAAGAATTAGATTCTATATTAAGGACCGGATGAGTAATTTTTAAGTGTACGTCACAAGAGTCAACAAAAATTAATTTAATTAGTAAAAAATATATTCATAATTCACAAAGTTGTAACTTTAAATCCTATTATTAATATGAGGATCTTATTGATGATTGGTTTGTAACACTTTATAAGCGTTCTTTTGGTATATAGGCATACCATAATTTTGATGTGTAACTCACTTGAACATCTTTTTACCAAAAGAAACACGCATATTGTAATACAATTCGCTATTTTTCTAAACCACTTGTATCTTTTAGTCCTATTTTCATAGCCAACAATAAATAAAGAAAATCCCAACTGATACTTATAATTGCCTTCATATTAACTACTCGAAAAGTAACAATATATCGATTTTAAAAGATTATATTCTAAATGTTTTTTTTTTTGTTTGAATTTCTTAGTGCCTTCATTTGGAGTTGCACTTTATTCCATTAATAATTTACAAATAAAGGGAAAAAAAGGAAGAAAAAGAAAGAAAGAGACCAGCAGAGCAAAGCCAGCTTCACGCCATTAAAGCATACATGTCCACTTGTTCATTCCAAGTACTTTTCAAAATAGGTTGTTATGACGTATAAAGTAAAAGCCACGCATAGATGGCCTTTCAGCTCCACTAAAAATATTATGCTTTAGAAAATTCAAGGAAAAATTCAACAAAATTTTAGTAGTTTTTTTTAACCATAAAATTTTGTGTTTTTATAATTTTTTTGAAAAAAATATTAAAAAAATATAAAACCAAATATGAGTGTAAGATGCTGAAATGTTTTTAATTCTAATCTTAACAATTCAAAATTTGAAAAGAAAGACGTTGAACTTCTCTCCCTATGAGCTTAATCATTAAACCAACGCATTTTATAATATTTTTTTAAACCAAACGGACCCATTTTATAGTATTTTTTTCAAAGCATATCAAACAAGAACACATGGTCGCCATATGAACACTAAAATCATATTAAATGTTATCAGAAAGCAATTAGTGCTTCCCATAATGTGAACCACTCATTGGTTTTACTTAAAAATCAAACCTCACCTCACATCACGTCCCATTACACATATAATTGATCCATCGCGTGTCTTTATCAAAGCAACTTGTTATATAGGATTAAGGATCATTTTTACCCTATAATTATTTGTAAAGAAATTGTAAGTATTTGAAAAATTTTTTCCTCTCATTATTATTAAAAAAACTATGTCACCCTAATTGTTAAATTTTATCCGTTTACAGCATTATTTTTTTATGCTTTTAGGGTGATATTGAGGGGGAAAAAATTCGCAATACTTATATCTCCTACATGAATACTTTTAAAACAAAAAATATTTTTAACCCTGTTATATAATATACCCCACTTGAAGGTCCTCCCCCCCCCCCCCAAAAAAAGAAAAAACCCAACAAAGCCCCAATAATGCTTGCACATTACATAAAATACGGAATCTCAATCCTCCACATGTCTGCACGTTCGGTGTAGCGGTACCGAAACACGAATAAAATAAAGGGCATTCAGGGATTATTTTTTCATCCAGCATATTAAAATTATTTTGTAATATATTTAGCCTTTTGAATTTTTTTTAAGTGCGTTTGCTGCTTTAAAATAGTTTTTTTGTGTATTTAGTATTCTAAATTATTTTTTACTAAAATAAAAAAATATTTTAAAGATCTTAAGTTTCATAAATGGAGATTTTTTTTACCAAACAATATACTCTTTTCACGACTAATCTCATCTATCTTTTTTCAAATTTTACCTCCCGAAGGTCAAGATAAACTTAGAAGACCTTCTTAAGACTTGACAGAGTTTTGCTTGGAGCCTTGACATGGTTTAGGCAAGATTGGAGCAAATGTAGGCAAGTCTTGGTATGATTTAGGCAAGATTGATGTAAGTGTGAGTAAGTCCTGATATGATTCAGATAAAGCTCAGGCAAGTTTTGAGAAGATTAAATATACCCTTTCAGTTCTAAATGTAATATTTTTATATTAATATATAAAGAGACATATATAAAGGTATTATATTTAGAATCAAGAAGAGTATCTCATAACTAACCCTGAGAAAAACATTTTAGCACGTTAGATATACTCAAGAAAATGTACCTAACCCTAAAATAAAACTTACCGATATTTTCGGCAAACACGGTACTCCTCTCCAATTGACCCTTAAAAGCAGAGGGGACGACCTCTTCTTCTTCATCATTCTGCTCTGCAACAACACAGTTTGTCTCTGAGCTTTGAGGTTGAAACAATGGCGAGTCAAGAGGTGGTGCTTTTGGATGCGACATGCAGCATGTTTTCGATGAGGGCAAGGTTAGCTTTGGCTGAGAAAGGGATTGCGTATGAGAAAAAGGAACAAAATTTGGCCGATAAAGGTCCTGAGCTTCTGCAGATGAACCCTATTCATAAAAAGGTTCCAGTTTTGGTTCATAACGGGAAGCCTATTTGCGAGTCCCTGATCATTGTTCAGTATATTGATGAGGTTTGGAAGGACCAAGGCAGTCCTTTGCTTCCCTCTGATCCTTATGACAGAGCTCAAGCTAGATTCTGGGCTGATTTTGTTGATAAGAAGGTATGTTCTTTGCAACCTCAAATTACACTTCGACTTTCTCTGTTTTCATATGCAAATGGTTTCAACCTAGGTCAGAAAATTTTTATTTAATCTTATTGGAATATATTCATAGTTCATTTGACCCAAGCTTTAAAATAGTATTTTTCCACTTTATATTGGTCTCAAGCATCAATGAAAAGAGATAGTGAAAGCTTTCTCCAAGATGTTGAACTAGGACACAAACTTGATTCAGTATTAGTTAAAACGTCAATACCCATATCAAATATAAGATCTTTAACAGCTATATGCAAGGGTGTTCAATTTCTTCATTTTATTCAAAATTTTAAATGGATTTCTTAACTTGATATTAGATCAGACCCAGCTGCAAGATTCACAAACTAAACAATATGACCCTTTTTTTTTTTTTATATTTCTCTGTGTCTAGGTGGCTGATGCGGCAAGTGGGGTATGGACAAAGAAAGGGGAAGAGCTTGAGACAGCAAAGAAGGAATTCATAGCTGTCTTGAAGCAGCTAGAAGAAGTACTTGGAGAGAAGCCTTATTTTGGAGGGGACAACTTTGGATACGTGGACCTTGCTCTCATCCCTTTCTACAGCTGGTTTCATGCCTATGAAACATGTGGCAAATTCAAAACAGAGGAACACTGCCCTAAGTTCATAGAATGGGCTAAAAGGTGCATGCAAAGGGAGACTGTGGCCAAGTCTCTTGCTGATCCCAAGGAAGTGTATGAACTTGTTTTGATGTTGAGGAAGAGATTTGGTTTGGAGTAAATGAGACAGAGAGGTCAAAGGATTTGCATGTTTGGTTTGAATAAGTGACCTTGAGTTGGTCAGTTGTTGTCCTGTATCAGCACATTGGACACTTTGGTGTGCCTTTGAAGAGCGTTGTCTATCTTTCACTGTCATTTGTATGTGTGTCATTTAGTGTCACTCTTGCTAATTAATGGAGAATCTATCAGGCTATGCTTTCGCTAGGTTATATAAGGGGTTATGCTTTTATAATTTCTAACCATTAAGAAAAAGAGTGGATGGACCTGAAACTAGCGGAATTCTAAATGACTGATATGAATTTCTATGATGCATGTTTAATGCAACTAAATAGCACAACTTTATTAACTACAGACAAGTTTAAGCCATTCTATCTATGAACTGATCATAGCAACTCATTTTCTTGTTTAATTTAATCTTCTTTCTTTCTTATATAAAATCTTCATCCTCCCCCAGCTTCGTTTTTTTCACAGGGTTGTAGATCAATTCAAATGTTTTTTGAGTTGTCTATAATTCAAGAGATCTTATTTGAGACCTCAAAAGATGAACAAATTCTTTTTGTTAGGAACATATACAAACCTCACCACCACATAAAGGATAATGATAACCCCACCGAAAAGGTAAAATCTACCATTTCACTTCGAGAGTCATTAACTACTTATCATCTTCATAATAATGGAATGACTCATTCGAATTGTTATGAGTCCAACCATACTGCACTGCTAGAACTTGTATTATGTTCAAAAGAACTAGACATGCAAAATCCAAATTCCAAACCCAATCTGCACATTTTTTGGGGGATGCATATCTAATTCGAGTCGTTAAGACTAAATTTAAATACTTAAAAATTTTCAAATTAATAAACCTAGCGAAATTCAAACCATGCAAATTAAACGCGCGCTTTAGAGCTTAGACATCTCTAAAGATGTGGTGGCTTCAGGTTCAATTTCATGTTTGAAATTTGTTCTCGAGACTAACAGTTCTCATGGGCGACCTGATTCTCAATTTTCTTCCCGCAACGGATAATTTATGCAGAAGCTAACGAGACCAATTTACCCTTTGTCCAATACGTCATGATGAAATAGAGTTGAAAAAACCATGCAGGTGGGAATTCTCCTGATAATTGTTCCAAACAAACTGCTGCGTAAGAAATTCAGGACTGGAAAACTAGTCGAGTCTGAAAGATGGAATGATACATTTCCATTTCCACTCACTCGTAAGATGAAATTTCCAGCTCCTTCAAGTTCTCTCCTATCCATGAAAGGCATTGACCAACTTCTTTCTCTCGTTACAAAATCCGAAGCAAGCAATTTTAATGCTCAAAACACTTCTATAACAAGAATTGAATAACTCGTGTTTCTCGATAATTTGTCATTAACACGTTTGATCCTATATAATCCAGGACTGAAGGAAGAACAAAAAAAGCAAGAATCTGATTCTGACGTGGCATCTCAGAGGCACTAATCATAGTTGTCGTCATCTTTACCCTTCTTAGGTTTGCGATATTGCTCCTCAACGTGCTTGGCCATGACCATGGCAGTGTCAGCAAGCTTCTTGATATTTGGAACTTTATAGTTCTGAGCCAAGTAAACCCCACAGACCGTCCCTGCTATGAAAGAGAAGCAACTTCTGATTATGCCCATCGTGGCTGCTTCAGTGTTTGGCCGGACCCCAAATTTCTGCAGTTAGAGACAGTTCTTCAAAATCGCTGTGAGAATTATTGTAAGAAAAAATGAAGTCAGCGTTATTATTTTTTGAGCAGTGAAATTGTTAATTAGATTATTAGAACAATTTAAAACATATAATTTGGCACAATAGAGAGATTGGAAAGGCCAATAGCTTGTCGAAAATCACATATTAAAGCTATATTTGGATAAGGAAGCACATCTGATTTACTATTTGTAAGACTGAAATAAATTATCATGTCCAAATTGCTTTTTCATTTGCATAAGAAAGTTATATTCCATTAAATCCTTTGGTAGGGAAGTGATATAATTGTATCTATGCCGGGGGCCCTAATTCAGAAAGTCCGAAGAGGACTTGGGCCTATAAACTCTTTGGCAACGGCCAAAATAAGTGAAAGTTAGAAAGAGGGAATTTCGGTGGCAATTGAGGGATGGACAAGTGGCAGAAAACAATTGGCTTCACAGAGGAAAAATGGTTAGAAGAGAGAGAAAGGGAAGAATGAATGCTGGCTTAAGGCCTAGAAGCTGACTAGGGAAATCTAGGCTGTGGAAATCTCTAGCCACCTTGAGTTTGCTGGTCTGATTTCTTGTCCTCTTCTGTATCATCTTCGCCTGACCTTGATATTTCCTATATCATCACTTTGTCAGTTAGACTCTGTAGGCTGGTCTTCTTCATTGCCGTGTGTTATTTCCTCGTTGTGGCCTTGTTTTGGTTCTGTTAGCTTCTTAAGAGTGGGCTCCTAATAGTCCATAACTAGACCAGGCAGGAATGAACAAAAATTATAAAGATCAGAATTACTAACTTGATTGGAACATCATTTCCATGACTAAGCATGTGTCTCGAAGCTCTGACAAGCCTTTTGCTCTAAGAATACCAATTTATGACAAGAATTGCAAGACAAACAACAAAGTCTGGAATTAATCAGTGGCTAATCATCCACACACACTCACACACACACATGATTATATTTATATCTTACAGCCTCCAATTGACATCACGTGCAACTTTTCATTAATAGCATGTAAGAGTTTTCCTAAATATAAAGTGGATAGTTAGATCACATTGGAAAATGCAAAGTACGAATCGAAAAAAGAAGAAAGAAAGAAAGAAAGAAATAATTAAGCCCCTACCCTACGATCTGTATATCTGCATAGACAAAGTGATACTGGGGGGAAAGATATAGAGACGTATGCGCTTTGAGAGAATATAGTCTAATAGAGTACCATGCGATAAAACTTATTCACTTCTGCCTGCTCAAAGCACTCTTTCAGTTACATAACATCAAATGATATATTGACCAAAAATAACACAAAAGAGAAAACAGAAACTATTGTATTAAGGTTCAAATACGTAAATACAATGTTCTCAAGGCACATAGGACATTAGTTGTCACTTTCCACGTTCCAACTTCTCAAGGAAGTCTTAAATTACACAATACATTCTACTTTATCATTCTCATAGTATTAAAACCACAGGCTGTAATTCATATATAGCCACACAAATACAATCCATATCATGATTATCTATAGCATGCTATGGCAGACTTTTTGCAACAGCAGGTACATCGCAGAAAGTTTACAGAACGATCATTAGAGATCAAGTGTCTCGGCAGCACAAGCTTCAAGAACCATATGTAAATACATAAGATGTTGCCTAATTTGGACGGTAGCATGGAAATGTTGAATTGATAGGTGGCTTTATCATCATTTCCAATGACACTCTCTACTACAACAACAAGGCATTTGCCTCTCGACATGATAAATTGGATGCACTTTTTGTCGTCTAGGTTTGCAGAAACAGGCAGTGTCCCGGGTGTGAAAGCAGAAGGGAACAGAAGAATTACAGGCAGACTTTTAGTCAACTTTTGAAGTTACGAAAAGTAAATTGAAAAGTGCCTTGAAGTTGTGGGGAGGTATTTCCATTTTGAACTTTGAGCTAATTTTAAAAATCTGGCCGGTAGCCAGAAGTCATTATAAACTTCAACAAGCACAGCTAGCTGATGCATCTTACAAGAAGTGGAATCTCAAAGTGAGCGAAGTTAGATAGAAGAAGAAAAAGAAATAAACTAAAACCACAAGACTCAAAATGAGCAACAAGCAGGGCGTTCTTGTCCTCACTCAAACTCAGTTCTGCTGCACTCAAATGATTTCGCTCATTCATTCAAAATGATACAATAATACGTAATATATACCATTCATGGATCATAAACAATCTCCCACCAGCCGGAAGGAAAAGAAGGAAATAATCACCAAAAAATTAACAATATAAAAGCACTGACAGAACCCCTCGCCTCGAAGTAACATCAGAAAACATGCCAGGAGAAAATCAGAGAAACAAGAATATACTAAGTTTACAACCTAATAAACAAAAAGAAACCAAACAAAATGGGAAGAAAGGATTGTGACATCGAGCAGAGTAACACCGAGCATACCTTACCGCGTGAGAATCAAGGATTTTGCCCGTGGCGCTGGTTGTTGATCGAATGACCAGAGTTTGAAGGTATAGGGCTTCGGCTTCACCAGATAGATACGAAAATCGGAAATTGCTTGGCAACAAGTACCGGCAAACGTTAGCGAATTTCGTTACTGTGGGAATGAAGGGAAGGAATTGGGAAGGAAGGTGGGAATCTAGAAGGATCCCCACAAAAACCGCGAAGGGTTCGGGCGGGGGCGGAATGAAGGCCGGCTAACGGCCAATGGAGTGAGATGTTCTTTTTCTCTTTTTATTTACCAATTTAAATTCCACCTCTTAGTTTCACCGTCCATGTGAAAATTGAAGGGTCAGTATCTTCTTCTTCTCTTTTTTTTCCTGTTTTAATATTGTTATTTTAGTCAATGTAGAATATGAATGAAGTTGAATTTTCAATTTCCAACCTTTTTTTTAAATTGATTATCTTATTTAAGAAGTGAGCACATGTTGTATTAACATTTTTTAAGAAAAAATAGGGGAGGCATGAAATTTAGGGCATATTTTTTTTTGTTCTTTGTTTTCTTGTTCTCAAAATAATTTCATAAAATTATTTTTTAGTACAAGTTTTGGAGGAAAAAAACCAAAAATTTTTTTGGAAAATAATTTTTAAAAAATCACATGAAAAAATACATAAAAAATCACATTTTAATAGGTGATAGTTACCACCATTAGTGATAGGCAGCGAGTAACAGATAAAAATAAAAGAAGATTTTTTCAATTTTTCAAAATAAAAAATAAAAAACACAAAAACAAAAAAATGTAAAAGTTGTTTTGATTTTTTAAGTTTTTTTAAAAACATGTAACCGTTTTTTTGTTTTTAAAACAATAAATTAAAAACAAATTACTAAATAAGTTTTTTTTTTGTTTTTCTGTTTCTAAAAACAAAAAATTGTTTTCAAAATATGAAACCAAACCACCCCTGACATTCCTAAAATTTTCATGGAATGAATGATATTCTAACTATATTGAGTTCAACATCCCTTTTTCTTAATTAAAAAGGTAGGCATTAACGGCCTTATAAGTAAAATCAAACTTACCACCTCCCACCTAAAAAAGATGGGAACTTTTCAAGGGAGAGAGAGAGATATATTGAGAGGATAAGTTTGATATGCCAGTTGCTTTATAATCTAATCATATGAAAACATCTCTTTAAATGAGAGGTCACAAGTTTGATTATTTAAAGAAAAGTTTAATTTGTCAATGACGTTAAAGCCTAATGCTTGCTCCTTTGATTTAAAAAAATGAAAAATGAAAGTTTAATTTTGTTTGGCACATGTAGGAATCAGAGAGGGAATATGTTATACGACATAAATATTCTTACTTATTTGAATTTTGAACAACTCTGTTTTGCATATGAATGAACATGAAAAGGCAAAGAAGATGCTCAAATTGATGCTATGGTTTTTTTTTTTTTAAATCAGTGTCAATGATAAACATCAGAAATCTAACAAGAACAAATATGCAATGAGCATGAATTGAGTTTCTTCTTCTGTTGATTTTGTTTTCCTTCAGTTGTGTGCACAATCACCCCATCTTGACTACCTTCACGCCTTTGAACAATTTCATAATGTGAGGTGTATTTCATATTTAATTAAATTTAATTTCCTTCCTTTGTTCGTTTGGAGTTCGATTTTGAAACAATATTTCATTATTTTGTAAAACAGTTTAACACTGCTTCAAGTCATTGTTTTCCTTTGATGAATTTTGGACGTTTATATAATATAATTAACAAAAAATAACAACTTCGGACTTGTTTGGTTTCTCATTTTGAAAACAATTTTTTATTTTGAATAAAACTTGTTTGGCACTTTGTTTTTAGTTGATTATTTTAAAAAACAAAAAACAGCAACATGTTTTTAAAAACTAAAAAACTAAAGCAATTTTTATATGCTTTCTTGTTTTTGTTTTAAAAATTTTAAGAAATCTTCTTATATTCTCACTTACTATTTATCACTTATCAAACTAGCAACAACTGTTATCTTCCAAGTGTGATTTTTTATTGTTTTTTTTCACACATCATTTTTTAAAATTGTTATCCAAACAAATTCTTTTGCTTTTTATTTTCAAAAGTTATTCTAAAAACAATTTTATAAAATTGTTTCGAGAAAAAAAAAGAAAAAAAAACAGGTCCATTGTTTTTTTTTTTTTAAATCTGCAAGTTAACACCTACTAAAAGCATATAAGGCGTCATCACTAGGCCAAACAGAAAGAAATGGAGCGCAATATTGTGCTTTTTTAACCCTTCAATAGTTTCCCTGGTAAAAAAAAAAAAAAACCCTTCAATAGTAACTTGTTATTGTGCCCAAAAACACCAACTTGTTGTGCCCCACAAAAAAAACAAAAAAAGAACATTTTCATACTAGCCCAATCTACAATTTAAACAGGAATTGTTTTTTGGTTTAGACAAAACTGTTTGGGGCTTTTGAAATAGTTAGGATAAGATTTATTTAATTAATTTAGATAAATTAAGAAAACAGTAGACTAGTTAGTTTTAGCAAATATGACACGATATCTTCAAAATATCTTTATATAATAATGAGTTATATATTAGTTTGTAAATTGGATGAATTTGTTTAAGACGTTGGTAAAAAAAAGATAAATTTGTGTGAGTAAAAATAATATATATAAAAAATAAAATAGATTGAAATTATATATTTAGGATATAACTAACTTATTAACTAGGTTATATATTTAAGACTGAAAAAGTATCTGAGATTTGCTCTAATTTAACTAAAAGAGTTAATGGGGGTTAAATTTATTTGGACCGACTTGAGTGGACACATTGAAATTGTTGGGAGTTTCAACTAGTTGGAGTGTTTTCAGATTAAAAAGCATTATCTTTAATTCTAAATATGTGAGTTGGATAATTAATTTGTAAAAACTAAATAATTTAGTTTAATTATTTATTTTATAAAAACTGTATTAAAATACTCATGTTGATTATTTACACATAAAACCACTCTATTAATGAAAACTTAATCACCAATAATAATTAAAAAATTATGAATTTAGGAGGCAAATCATGTTAAGATTTCTATTTAATATCAAAACTTACAAAGCATTCAACTCTTACATGTAGAATAGGGGGAAGTAATTTATAACCATAATCACCAAGTTCAGAGACAAGGAAACTAATTATTGAAAAAAGGGGAAGTGAATCTAAATTGTAATGTGTTTAACAGTTTTTTTTCCTTTTTTCTGAGCGGAGATATGAATGAGAAGTTGAGACCTTTCACATGGTTGTTTGACGAGGCCAAAAAAAAAAATAGTTCTTTTGAGATCAAATTAATTTAAGAATGAATGTATCCAAACGCGATACTGTTATTGAGACAACTTTTTGTTAACCATGTAGAAAGGAAAACAATTTATGGATTATGGTGTTTGGTGCATTGTATTGGCCTTAGTCCTCTATATTGTCTTAATATGTGGAGCATTTTTTAGTATTAGTGAGGCTAGTTGTTATATTATTAATTAAAGAATTAAAGAATCACACGCTAGTGATGTTTTTCTTTAGATGAAAATCATGATTTATTTATAAATATCTTAAAAATCATTAATCATTAATCATTAATCATCAAATAATGTAGATATTAATTGAAAAATATATTCCTTAATTTTTTATATTACAATAAATTAAAAAAATTATCTTATATGAATATCATCCTGTTGAATATGACGCACTTAATTGAATAATGTATTACTAATATACTCCCTCCAGTCTTATATCTAAAATATTATCTTTGGAAAAAATTAGTAAGAAATTTGTTGGAAAATTTAATTATTTAAAAGGACCTGGATTTAAGCAAATGCAACTATGATTCGTGAGTATGGCATATATTTTTGTGTGTGTAATATATCATCAATGACATGTAACAATTATCAATATTGGAGTTATTTATACATAGCAGAATATACGTTACATGGTTTGGTTTGGGGTGTTTGGATGAAACCAAACCATGGTTTGGAAAATAGCTTTTGGAGAATAGATTCTGGGGAAAATAAGGCCCTGTTTGGATAGCAGGCAAAACCATGGTTTGGGAAAAAAACAACCCAAACAGGCACGAATTATTTAAAACCATGGTTTGGGTTAAAACCATGGTTTTGGAACCTAAAACCATGGTTTCGGGAGAAGTGAATCTATTCTGCTTCTGGCTCAAATTGGAGAGTATGATTGTGCCTATTAGAGTAAATATCAACAATAATATGACTTTAATACCCCTTAATTAATTTTTTATAAACATATTTAATCTTATATCTTATAAATAAATATACACATATTAATTATTTATTAATTATATTATCTTATGTATTATTAATTATGTTGGTAAAAAATATATTATTAACAATTTTATTCTTTCAAATTAAAATATATCATACAATCTATGTTTTATGTAATTATCATATTAACTTATTCTTTTTTTAATAATTTGTACATATAAAAGTGTTTCTAATAATAACTATCCAAACACTCTCACTTCTCAGAATTACTTTTTCACAAAATCTATTATTCATGAAATCTATTTTTTTCAGAATCTATTCTCCAGAAGCTATTCTCTAAACCATGGTTTGGTTTCATCCAAACACACCCTTATATATACTCTAATAGATTTTGTGAAGTGAGAGTGTTTAGATAGTTGTTATCAGAAGCACTTTTTATATATACAAATTACTAAAAAAGACATAAGTTAATATGATAATTACATAAAAGATAGATTTTATGATATATTTTAATTTGAAGGAATAAAATTGTTAATAATATATTTTTTCACTAACATAATTAATAATACATAAGATAATATAATTAATGAATAATTAATATGTGTATATATATTTATAAGATATACAATTAATATGTTTATAAAAAATTAATTGAGGGATGTTAAATTCATATTATTGTTGAGATCTACTATGACATGTACAATCATACTCTCCAATTTGAGTCAAAAGCAGAATGGATTCACTTCTCCTGAAACCATGGTTTTGGGTTCCAAAACCGTGATTTTGGCCCAAACCATGGTTTCAGATTATGACATCAAAATTGATGTTGTTTGGATGACATTCCATTCAAACTATGGTTTTGCCTCCCAAACCATAATTTTGGAAGTCACCCAAAGAGGCCCTAGTCTTACCGTCCTGATGAAAATTGTATGGTTAGTATCTTTTTTTTTTTTTTTCTGTATTCATATTGTTATTTTAGGCAAT